TTCATCCCCAGAATTACATCAAAATCTCCCGTGTTTAGTACTATCAGGTCTACACTCAATTTTTTATATATTATTTTTATGATACAAGCTTTGTGTATGGCATTTTCTAGTAGTGTCCAATTCTTAGGAGTAGACACAAACAGCACAGAATCAAAATTTTTAGGTAACATATTCAATTTTTTTACAAAGGCATGTGAAACAAAAGAATGTGAAACACCAGTATCAATTAAAATATGTGCAAGGTGATTACAGATAGTGTATGTACTCCGTATCACATTCGGGTTGGCTTTAACATTCTACTCGGTGAGGGTGTAGGCTTTACCCTAGATTGGAGGTCTGACCTGATTTTGATTTCACGAACACTCTCTCGTGCAGTGCTGGGTACTTCCACATATGTGATAGGTATTGTTGAGGCGATATTAGGGTCAGTCCCCATGATCCTTGCCACAGTGCTGGCAAGTCCTACCGCATCCTGTTGGCAGAACTTGAGAAGGAGCTTCAGTCGCGGGCTTAAGTCTCTTGTTCTACTAAATCGGTGTAGTAGGTGATGGCCTATGGTGTGGAGCTAGGGGTCTGGAGTTGTCCACTGCTGGAGAAAAGATGTGAAGGTTCTTTTATATTAGTTATGCCTTGGCTAGAACTACTAAGTAAATGTTGAGTTCGAATACATACAGTTGTTGCCTGATATCAAGATGGAGGCCCCACTCAAACTTTCTTACCTTTCTGCCTTCGTCCATCATGCTATCAGGAGAATATCGGTCCAACTCCAGGAATTTTTGGGTATACTCAGACACTGTCATCTCACCCTAGACTAGTTGTGCAAACTCTATCTCCTTCAAATGTCGAAGACACTCTGAGAGGTACTCTACATTGAAGACTACCAGGAACTATTCCCAAGTGACTGGAGTGGGCAAGGTGGCCTACTTCAGCTGCCACCAATGACTTGCCTCACCTACAAATATGTAGGTAGCAAGTATGACTTCTATTCCATAACCACTCTAAGAGTTACGAAAGTCTTATTTGTCTCTGCTAACTAGTACTTGGCCTCTTCCAAAGTGGATACCCATGTAAAGGTAGATGGATTAAGTCTCTTATACCTTTAAATGTAGTCTGAGTCTATCATGGGCGAAATTGGGTCCTGTTGAAGAGGAACTGCATTATGCTGGGGAGGGGTCGGGTAGCCCTGTGGTGGCACCTAGTTATACGGTGGGGGCACCGAATTATACTGTGGTGGTGCCAGATGATACAGTGGAGGAGCAGGGTTATATTGGGGTGGCACTAGATCTTCTCGTTGCAGGGTTGGCTCATCCTGTGGCAGTGGTGGATGGTCAGACAGCTCTCCCATCTCTTCCTGAGCCTGTTGGGTAGAGATAAGTCTCTCTAGTATCTCGAAGAGTCGATCGACATCCTCTCGAAGTGATCCATCCCTGGCTGCTCTGTTTAGTGGCAGCCTTCCTCCCCTCATATCTTTGTACCTGCATTTTACGATAAAGGGTTGTGTGTCGGGTTATATTTGAATTATTAAAATCTTTGTGCAAGCAATGGTTCCGAGGAATGCAGCTCTGATACCAACTGTAAATGTCCAAAACTTAAGAAAATAGAAATATTGAATTAAGAAAATAAAAGTGGAAGTAATTAAGGGTTTAGTGTTTACATTCCTTATACAATGATTCGGGATGCCCAATATGACTGTGGGATGTCCCTTTTAGGAAGTTCTCAATAATGGAACAAATAAATAAAAGAAAATACAACTAAAATTTCTAAAAAGTTAACCTCCACTGGGCAACTCTGATGGGATGCAGGAGGTAGCTTTTATTCCCACTCTTCTTACTTCTCAGGATCTGGGTCTTGGTCTTCTTGATTTAAAATAGTTCAATAAAAGGGATAAACTACACTAGTCCAGTAAGAATATCACGCTTAACACTGATACAGAAAACTAAAAGTTGGTAAAATGCACCAGTACCTCTAGGGGTCCATAGGGTTACCTCTTATGCATGGACCTAATACCTAATTTATCAATTAATTGGCCATCCTCATATCCTGTCCAGTAATGGACGTCAAACATACCACCACCTCAATACCCCGTCCGATATGAAAGTATGAGACTTGTCAGCTCCGTTCGACTGAGGTAATGTCCACGGTAGTATTTTTTCTATGCACCGGGTCTATACACCCTTTCTCAGGGTACCCGATGAGCCTTTCATACGTATATTTACATTATCAACGAATCACACTTACATACTAACATTTCATATGTACAGACCAACAGTAAGTCATACAAATAGACAGTACGCAAATCAATCAATAGGTAGGGACAAAACGGGTAGATAAACTAATAACGAGAAAGTAATTAAAACTAAAAAATTATAGCACATGATGCAATAGTAAGCATTTTAAGCAATATATGAGAAAATAAACAACAAAGCTAGGACAATCATATATTGACCGTTTCCACCTTCATTGATGACCTGTAATTAATTTTAAAAATTTTTAATTTTTATAAAATACACCATTATTAGTTATTAGATTTTAATTTACTGTAATGGGAGAAAATGGTAAGGGATTCTTACCCTGAATCAGTGTTCAAAACACCATCTTTTTTACTGCGCCTTGTGGTGGTTCTTGGGTTTTCTCGATTTTTTTGCGAAAATAAAAAACACGCATTACCTATTTTAAAATACCCCAAAAAGGCTAAAATAAGCATTTTTAAATTTTTTTCGGTCGGTTTAGGGTTTTGGCACAGTGCCGCTACCATGCTTAAGTGCCGGCTCCACCACCCACGGTGGTGCTTCCTCTCAGTCTGGCCGTTTTTGGCCGATTATTGCCAGTTTTGATCGGTTTTGCATGAAAACCTACAAAAAACAAGGTTAGGGGTCCTTTATTGGCCGAAAAGGAGAAAACTAAGACCCCTATCGGCAGAGGAATTTTTCAATACGGTAGCTCCACCATTCCTCTCTTACAGTCGGGATTTCTGTTCAACTAACCTGTACCAGAAAGAGACTAGGAACACATTGGTCAAAGAATCGGGGGAAACGAGAACCCAGAAGGGACTCATCGGAGGAGTTTTTAGGTTGCGGCTGCGGTGGCTCGGCCAAGCTCCCTCGCAATTTTCAGCTCACCCTTTGGCTTTTTGGCTCTGATATGAGTGTGGGGAGGTGCGAAATCCAATTCCAAGCGTTTGCAGTGGGTATAGTGCGGCGGTGATGGTGGCTAGTCTCCTTCTCTACCGAGTGGTTCTCTTTTTGCCTGCCCCTCTTCTTTTTCTCCGATCTCCTCTCTTGTGGTTAAGGTTGGGGTTCCCTGTGAAGAGGAGTTAAAATATTCCTCTATATTAAATCTAGGTCGTCCTTTTGAGGAGACATGACCCATCCTCAGCTGTTGGATCGCTCTTATTTAAGGAATCAATCTGGGTTATTCGATTAAAGATGCATGGGTCGTCTGATCATGCTTATCTAGGAAATCAATCTGGATTGTTCGTGCACGCGGAATTAAGCAAGAGCTGTTGGATCGTCCAGACATGCGGATCACTCGCGTGGAACCCATGCCAGCGTGTCCGCTACGCAGCGCGTTCTAACTCGTCGTGCTGTTGATGTGGTCATCCCACGTGTCCCGTATTTCTCAATTTTTACAATTTGATACCCTATTTTCATCTTTTCATTTAAATACATCCTTTTTTTTCACAGTTTCACCTTGTTTTCCAAAATTAATTTCAATTTCATCCAAAATCCATATTTCTTCAAAAATTAACAAAAAAATTAAGAACTAAATTATTTTAATTATTATTCTTATTAATATTAAATTATTTCAAGCTAAATTTTCGAACACAAGTGTTATATTTTGCACGTCTAATCTCTTATATTTTCTTTGTTTCCTCATTTCTTTCCATGCCTTAACTCTTAACTCTATTTATATAATGACTTAACACCTTAGGCCATACTCCCCCTACTTCTTGATCATAACAACTCCATTGAGCCCCTTCTGTTTCCCTTATCTCTTACTCTCAACAATAGTTTTTCCTTTATCTTGAATTTTATTTTCAACATCCTATCTTTTTTTTAAAAAAAATTGCTCAAACTTTATGATTTAGAATGTCTTGAGCATTCCTCTTTTATTTTTCTATTTTGGACTTCTATTACACACCCTAGTTGCCTTTTGTCTCCTAATTTAATTTCTTTTCTTTTCTTTTGACACTTGTCCATCACCAAAGCTCAAAAAGCTCTCATTTTCTTTTTATTTATGTGTATGACAAATTGAACAAAGAACATATAAAAAGCTTTCAAAATAACATTATCTCTAACTTGCTGAAAGCTGAGTTATGATCACAAGTCGTGTCAATTTTTGGGGTTGGTCTTGGAAGTTAATGGATTAGGTTATGATCATGGTTTTTAAGAGTTGAGTTGTGGTTGATTGGAGGTGGGTTTAAAGGAAACAAAATGGGTTAGGTCTTTGGTGTTGTGAATGAATTAAGTAGATTGAGTTAATAAATTATGTTGAAGTTTAAAGGGTATTTGGGTATTAAATCATGTCTCAAATTCTAAGGATCTAACTATTTGATTTATCTTTATCTTTTTATATCTTACAAGTTAGTAAACTGGAAAAATTATTTTATATTTAAAATGATAATATATGAAAAGTTATTTATTTAATTTTTAAATATATTAAAATAAAAATTGTGTAATAATATACATAATATTTATTTATTTATTTATAAAATGTGATAAAATATTATAATTTTTATTTAAATATTATATATATACAAATAGAATATAAATGAGATTATATTACTATTTCCTTAATTTTCAGTTGCACATATTACAAATATCTACGTATATAAATATTTGCATATTGCTCGCGCGGAAAGAGGTATGTCTATATGTGTGCATATATATATATATGTATATGAAATATTGTAAGTACAGGCAAAGCCCATATAACATCAACTACACCAGGCCCATACGACTGGCTACCCGCCCTTTCTAGTACAACAAACGGCTCTCCTTTCCCCAAACTTGCTGGTAAAGCACACAACTACCTCCATTTTCAAATCCAGAAAAAGAGCACTTCTCTCGCATCACTCTCTCTCTCCAGCCGGCCGCGAACTTGTCACGTACTGCACAGGGAATCTCCCAGCTTTCTTCTCCTACCATGCCAATCATCTCCGCTATAAACCAACTTTCTTCTTCTATCTCTCCCCTAGGGTTTCTCTATAACTCACCGGTGCGCCCATGGATTCTCTGTTTCCCGCCATTTTCGTTCTCTCGGTTTTCTCCGTGTTCTCTTTGGCTCAATCATCGACGATCGGCGTCCACCACATATCGAGCATACTGGATATTCAAGACCGCGAGAGAGCTTCTCCTGCAGTCCAATTAGCTGCAGCTCGCGGCGTCCTTAAGCGCCTGCTTCCTTCTCATTCCTTTGCTTTTGAGTTCCATCTCATCTCTAAGGTGTTCGAGTCATAGACATAGATTATTGATTAATATGCTTTCTCTTTTCGTTATTGTTTTCTATTTATGAGCGCTAACAAGTAAGAATTCTGTTTATTATGTAAAAGCGAATGATCCTTTGAACCTCAGTCTCTTAAATACTTAATTTGGCAGGAGCAATGCAGGGGAAAAAGTTGCTTTATCATCAGAAATAATCCCTCCTCCTATCCTTATGAGCATGATGAACCAGAAATTTTGTACGTTATGATTTTCTTATTTCCCTTTTTTGTTTATTTATTTGTTCATTTATTTTTGAGAGGGGTGTTGAGCTTTCTTTAATGTCCGTTTGTAGCATTATTAACTATTTTTTCCTTTAGATGGAGATAACTAGTAAGTGATTATTATGTGGAACTCCTCCAGTTTGTTATTCATTTAATGTTGTGTTCTCTGAGTTATACTCCTGCTTTCTGCTTAATGAGTGAACTTACTTGGTCTCCTTTTCATTTGACCCTTCAGATTAGTTTATTATTTTTTGTTAGTAAACTGATAAAAATAGCTTAAAACATTTCAACTTTTGGTTAAACTTGTTCAGAACTAATATTATACTAGATGAATAAGCTGATTTAATAATTGTATATGAACAACGGATTATGTTTGTGATTTAGCAGTTAGAATAGACCAGGAAATAATGATTTCAGTAGCCACTCCACTTAGCTTGTGGGAGAATAACTTAGTCAAAAACTGACTTATTTCAGAAGCCCATGTACAAGAAACCATTTGTTTCTGGATGATGGGTGAGAGGGATTCCCTTTAACTTCTGTTGATTGTTTTCCTCCTAGTTTGTATGCAACTTTAATGCTTCTTAAGTTTGTTTATAGCTCAACATTTTCTCAAGATAGTTTGCTTTGTATTTATACTTACATATGATAGTTTCAACTGAGTGGACATAGAATTGCTGGCGTCACTGCAGTGGAAGTCTTGGCTGGCCTACACTGGTACTTGAAATATTGGTGCGGTGCACATATATCTTGGGAAAAAACAGGGGGTGTACAACTGTTTTCAGTACCTAAATCAGGATCTCTCCCCAGTGTTCAAGATTCTGGGGTCTTGGTTCAGAGACCTGTTCCTTGGAATTACTACCAGAATGCCGTTACATCTAGTTGTAAGCTTCTATTTGAAGAGTAGTTTTCTCTATAAGATCTTTTTCTTTGAAAGGGTTCAAATTTGAAGTTGTGGTAAATTTTAATTTACTTAATTCTTCTGCCTTTCGAAGATTCTTTTGCTTGGTGGGACTGGAAAAGATGGGAAAAAGAAATTGATTGGATGGCTCTCCAAGGAATCAACTTGCCACTTGCATTTACTGGTCAAGAGGCTATTTGGAAAAAGGTTTTCGAGGTACTAATTTTTCTGGTTCATCTAATTATTATTTTCTTTGTATTCTAAAAGTTACAAATTTTTTCTATCTTTTAAGTTTCTAATTCGGTTATTCCATAAACCGTTCCATTTTGAGAAGAAAATTGAATAACAAGTAATTGGCCTTATACTACAATAGCTAGCCTTTCTGAAAGTTAATCCCCCAATATCCAAACTGCTGCATTTGAAGGACCTGTGTGGTTAAAGGAAAAATGGGCCCTCTTTTTATTTTCTCCATGTTATTGATTTCATGAAATAAGATATGCATAAAGCAGACGATAAGTTAGATCAGATTTGCTTATATGGGTTTCAGTTAACTTCTTTCTACTTATATTTACCTACTTACTGGAGGAAATCAATTTCATTTAAGGTTTCGCCATATTTCTAAATAATTTTTTATATTTAAGGTACAATTTTAATACATCTATAGAAATGGTTTTAGTGCATTTCCTGCTTTTTTCTGCTGGTGGTAAAGTGCTTTAGACCTTAAAATGCACAGGCTGTTGTCCAGAGGAAGATGAGTTGACCAATCAATGACTTCAGGGAATCTGTTATATGGTCAATGTTATGTAGGCATATTTGTGCTGAGCCTCAAAATGGCAGTATTCTTGTTCTAAAAAAATTAGTGAACTGGTTTTCATGATTCATATTGTAAATTCCTCTGTTTTAGCACAATCGATTGCTTTCTTATACTAAATTCGTGTTAGAAATTGTTTAAATATATATAATTGGAGAAGTTTTAGGATTCTACTGTTAAAATCAGTTATTTGCATAATGTATTTGTTAGGGTCCCCACTAATGGATCTTGTTATGGAGCAATGAACCACAAAATCAATCAGAAAGACATTCTTTTTATTTTTTCTACATTTACCTATTTTTAAATTAAATTTAGGAGCTCATTGTAAAGAGAGAACCATGCAATCTCGAAAGTAAGAAAGTACTCTTAAATTCCACTTTCATTCATATACTGTCTTCAAAGAGACAACTTTATTTAAGTAGTTTATAGGAGCCATTAAATTTACAAAAGCAATTAATTTTAGAATTCCATCTCCAGAATTACCTCCTCTAGTCTTTGAGATATTCTTTTATTTAAGAATACCGCCTACACTTCCACATTCACATATAAACTTCTATGCACATGATAGAACCTACATGATTATAACAATATTTTAATTATTAAGAATGGTTTGATATGTATTTTGTTGAATATCAATGTTTTATATATGTAGATTTTCTAAGACGTAAAAAAAAATAAACAATTAATTATAAAAGATGCTATTTACTCTTATACCCTTCAACCTAGTCCACCATCTCTTGAACATTCCTCAAGCTGGTAAGTAGATATTGTCCATCTCCAACATTCTAATAAGAAGTTGAAATACTGGATTGTTTCACTATTTAATTAACATATCTGCTAGTTAAGAATTAGTTGGCATGTACAGAGTACATTATGTTGTAAAATTTTTCTTTAATAAAATATCTATTGATCTCGATATGTTTAGTCTGATCTTGTTGTATTGAATTGTAAGCGATACTTATTATTGACTAATTATCATAGTATAGATGCATGATGTTTTCCTAGTTGATTCTAAGTTCTTACAAAATTCTTTTTATTCATAATAGTTCACATATCCTTTGTGCCATTGTTCAAAATTATGATTTTGTATTTGATTTCACAACTATTTTTTGTTACTTCTTCAGTAACTAGATTACCCCTGAGGAAAGTATACTAGTCTCTAGTAGATCATAATGTACATCAGTATAGAATTTTAGGTATTGTAGTATTCTGTAGTAGGTTTATAGGTGTACTTCTTTTTGATTGTGCATGAATTGACTCATAATACTTATTGTGTAGATGATATCTGGTCTTGTATAGGACATGTAAATCAATTTCCCAACTAATTTTTGATACATTTCTTTATTTATTGGTGCATCTTCTTTTTCTATTCCTAATTTGTGATTATGCTCAATGAGAGTACTATTCCTAATTTGTTATTAAGACATTGACAAACTAACAATGCAAATCGACTAGCAGTCTCATTGATCATTTATCCAATGTCAGTTTGCCAACCTTTTTAGGGGGAGGAGGTTGGGCTGGGAGTTTGGTCCAAATAAAATATATTACTATAGTGATAATTGATAAATGTTATTATCTCATCATTTATCCAATAAGTAGAAGAGAGAATTAGAGTTTTGTCTTTGTCTTGCTACTTCTCAATTTGTTCATTTTTTGTTGAGCATTTTATACCTGCTAGGAACTGTATTTTTAAAAACTTTTTTTTTTTCTTTTTCACCTCTTAATTTCCTTTTACTTGTTGAATATTTATTCTCTAGGAGAAATTCAATATAACAAGTTCAGAATTGGATGACTTCTTTGGAGGACCAGCATTTCTTGCATGGTCACGAATGGCAAATTTGCATGGGTAAGTTTATAGGTTGGCAATAATCTTGAAACAATTATGCCATGTTCTGATTTAGTCATATTCTGTTTGATGTTTACTTCACCTTGTAGTTTATTAACCAAGTTGACGCGCTAGTTTATGCAATTATTTGTTATTCCAATCATGGTTATGGAATTTATTTAATGCTTTCATAGGTTTGCTAACTAGTTGGTGTAGGGGAATCTATAGAATAAAATTGACCACCATGTTTAGCTGTGTTAACCTTTTTATTGAATGATAAAATTTCTTTATGTAAAGCTTCCAGCAAGAGAACTCTTCTCACAACCTTCATTATTCTTATTTCCCATCTAAGAGATTTATTTTTTCCATCACAGGTGGGGTGGTCCCCTACCACAAAGTTGGTTTGATCAACAATTAGATCTACAGAAGAAGATTCTTTCCAGAATGTATGAATTGGGAATGACGCCAGGTACTAATTTTATTTTATTTAACCCTTTTTTCTTTTCCCTAAGGGTGGGGAGCTAGGGAACATAGTGAAGTACTTCGGATTGGAATGCCCTTCCTCCTTTTGCCATATGTTCCATATTTCAAGACGTGATATTTGTTTAGTGATTGGCTAATTATCTGATCATACAAATAATATTTCAAATCTAATTTTTAAATTAACTCAAATATCATTTCAACATATTGAGCAACTCTGAGTTTGGGTACTATTTAAAGATTGCCACTCAATGATCAGTGTTAGATCATTATTGTTGGCATGAACTCGATGACAGCCCAAGAGGGGGACGAGTTAGGTGAATTGAGTTATAAAATTTTCAAGATTTTAAGCACACTTCCAACTCTTTCTTTCCTACAACTCTTGGATTAGGATAGACAAGTTTCTTAAAATATATTGTCTTCACTATTTAATTGTATAAGAATGAGAAAGACCTAATGAAGTTTGTTTCTGTTTGTTACAAAATTATAATATACTTTCCTTACATAATACCATAATTATAGGTGATTGACTTTCCATTTATATTAACGTAATTATAGGCAGCAAATTAATAAATTAATTTATGTTAGTTACGTTACATAGATCCCTCTGTATGTATATATATCAAACCTATTAGAATAAAATCATCAAAAAAAATATTCCTATACTTTTCTATTCAATTACATGGTATCAAAGCTGGCTTAGAAAGAGAGACACTATCACCGTCCAGATCTGAAGTGGCGGTGGCATTTGGATTGTGGCGGAGTGTTCAAAGAAGAAGACTCGGCCGGATCACAGAGGATGAAGCTTGGGTCCGGCGGATCGTTTGAAACCAGAAAGGAGCAGGACGAAAGCAGAGGCGGCAGCGACCTGAAGAGACACCAAGAGAGAGGTTGCGGTGGCTGAACAAAAGCACGATCAGATCCGATTCAACCAGATTTACGTGCCAGGAGCCAAATTGACTGGTGGTGAGGAAGTTGAGTGCGAGCAACGGTTCTGTTCAGAAAAGCTAAACGGGTTTGCTCGTTGCATTTTCTGGCGCGAAAACCGTCCTGCGGGCAGTGGAAGAAGCTTGGATACATGTGCAACTTGGAGCAACAGAACCATGCAATGGGAAGAAGATGAAGCGGCATTGGCGATCTGTCCCCAGAATGACTAGATCTGTGCAAAGAAGAGGTGCAGCAGCTATCGGTTGCCTGAAGCTAGATCTGCAGCGTTTTCGGCACGATTCAGGAGATCCATTCTGAATCTGAGCACGCTGCAGTTCTGTGGTGATTTCCAGACAAAACGCGATGACACATGGTGATTCTGGAGGAGGTGCGTGCGGCAACACGTGGTTTGGCGGCGTATAGTGGCTTCTGGTGCTTACGCGCTGTGGTTTTTTGTGCAGTGGTATTTTCTTGTGTGTGGTTGTTTATTTCTGATAGTAGTAATTCTCTTTATTTGTCTTTTATCTACTTCAGGTGTTTTTGGTTGCTAGATGATGCAGAAATCGAGATCAACAATTCAATCCAAAACTCGACATATAACATTAGTATGCTGAGACATAAATTTCTAAATAAATTCTCCATACTTAACCCATAATCAACTATGTGAAGATGAAATAAGGTGATTGAGATAAATTATATTGATTAGAATACCAAAACAAATATCTTGATAAGTTAAAATCAAGTCAAGAAAAGAGATTGACGAAAATACCATAAGTTATCTTGATAAGTAGACACCAATTCCCCATGCACCAAGAAAAGTGAAGAAACCTCCCTAAAAAGCAATTTAGCCAACGGCTAACTAAAGTTAAAAGTTTAATTTTATTGATCTTAAATTTCAATTTCTTTACAATCAAAGCAATAAGGTCTTTATATCAGCATAAGTTTATTAATTCTACTATAATTTAAAAATTAAATTATAAAAAAATTTTAATTACATTTTTATATAGGATTCTAATAAAATATTAATTTAAAAGCATAAACATAATAAAAAAAAAAAAAAAAATTTCTCTTAAAAAGTGGTGTGGCCGAATTCTCCATGCTTTATTTGACTTGAATTTGGACTTCAATATTTAATTAATTCTTGCTGTAAAAGTTGAGTTGAAGTTGCTTTAAAAGGCTTCCCAATTGGACTAGAAAACAATTCTCCTTTCATGAGAAAATCAAGAAGAAAATATAGGAAACAATCAAAGAAAAAAATCTAGAATTTTCTACCATGAGATGAAGAAGATCGTAATCTCGGCCAGAACTTGTAATAATAGGATTTTTCTTATCTTATCTTGATAAGAACTTTAAATTGACGAAAACTCTCAATTTGATGAAGAAGGGCATAATCTCGGCCAAAACTTGTAATAATAGAATTTTTCTTCTTTTATCTTGATAAGAACTCTAAATTGATGAAAACTCTCAGTTTGATGATGTAGGTCTCTTGAAACCTGATTTTATTTAGTTGGATAAGGATCTTGAATTTATATGAGATTTAATTGAAGTTGAAAACCATTCATGAGGAGAGTTATATTTGGTTAAGATTGTGAAAGAACGAATAATTAAGTGTTTAAGATTTTTACGAGTTTTATTATTTATATGATTAATATGCTCTAAAAGATAGGAGTTTTTCAGTTATGACTCTTTCAATAAGAGTAGACAGATCTCTCATATGAAATACCCAAGAGTCCATGATTGGGAGAACTCTTTTAGTCGTTTGCTTGTAATTATCTTTATTATAGGATTTTAGTGTGAGCTGCTCCCCCTTTTTTTGCATCATTGGATTTTTGTGTGTTTCAGGTGGTTTTTGTCTAACAATTGAATACTCGAATTAAAATAAGTAGTAATATTGTCTATTACTATGGCCATGAGTAAGAGTATACAAAACGGTACTATAAGAAATTAAAGAATCGCAATTAGAGAACACGGTCTGCTAATATTATTGTTGTTATTAATAGCTCATCTTTTGAGAGAATTGTTATGATTTCAGCTGACGAGTATACTAAATTTTCTCAGTATCAGGAATTTTTAAAGAAATTATCTTCTTTTACCGAATCAGATAAAAAATATCTTATCTCCTCCTTAAAAAATAAGTGATTGATTCTAGTGTTACAGATCACATAGCAGGTAATTCTAATATTTTTTCTACCTTTCGATCGCATAAAACACATTTTTCTATAACCATTGGTAATTGGTCAACTTATAACATTGTGGGCTCTAGGACCATAAAACCAACTTCATTTATTACTTTGTCATGTGTATTAAGTTTACATAAATTTACTCTTAATTTGATTTTTGTGAGTAAACTTA